AGCAGTGTGCATGCGTACATATGTATAAGAAAAATCTCAAGATTGTATTCATACCCAGAAACTAGTACATTTTTTTCAAGGTTTTTGAACCATGCTTTCATTTGCTGACACCCAGGTAGCTCAGATTCCTTCGACATGAGAAGATCATCTTCACCTTCTTTTGTAGGTTATGGAATAAAGGGTGAATATGTGTTGAAGGAGTGAAAGTCAAAGTATTTTTGGATAGATGTAATTACTTTGAGCCTTCATACCAGCTACGGATGAACCTCCTCCAAGGACTACAGTATTGGTTAACATTTAGCTCTTACTTTTTAGAGAGACAAAAATATAAATTAAAGGCCTTGCATTTCTGAATGTGTGTGTGTGTGTGTGTTAGATCACGTGGTGTTCCACACTTTTAAAAACATCAATAATTTACAGCCTTGCATTTTATGAAGGAATTCATATCACCTGCCACCTTTCCTGTCAGAGTGTTCAACTAAGATCATCTTATGTTGAGATGTGTAGCCATTTACCTTGAGAGTACTCTCAGCTACTACCACATCGTATTGTAGCTCAATGTTTGTCAAACTGACTGCGTTACRGCCATTTTTGTGTCAGCRATTGTTGATTAGRGGTGGTGGCCATTTTGAGTTTGATCAAGTCAAGTTAATCAGTTGTAGACATGCATCCAGTGATTACTTTCTAAYCACAAGCCTGTTAGGTGATTGGTGAATCTAAATTGAGTATATGACCTTGCATGTCGTCTGTGTCATTTGTGTTAATGTTGGCCGTTTGATAGACACAATGGRTTTACTCACTGTGTGAAAACTGGAAAAGGCTCCAGCCCTTCAATATGACCTTGAACAGAAGATATTGTTATGGAAAATGAATGTATGAACAGTTTTAGTCAGAAGTACAAATCACAAGTGAAAATATTCAAGTTACATCCGAGGAGAGCCCTGGCAGTGGTGTTCAGTTTAAAATTAAATGATGGTACCGATGGAAGAGGTACAGAAGTGTTGTATGGAAATGAGAGGAAGTGCTCCCTGAAAATATGAGTCTTCGAGAGGTTATTGAAGGTAAAAAAAAATAAAATAAAAGGCTATAACAAACCCTTACTCTGACAGCATGTGCTTTCTTGTTTTATTATTGTAGTTCAACAATTGTGGTATCTCAAGAAAACACACAGACGCAAGTGGCATTCTTAAAATCATTCAAGATGGAGCCTGAACCTTTAGAGTTGTAGATACAGTACCTGAGTGGAGATGCTGAATTTCCTCTTTAGACAAGCTTCACTGTCTTGAGTTTTATTGTGGTAGCCAGTTGAGGTCAGTGAGTGATGGAGTGTTGTCTACTTTTGGAGCGATCAAATACCAGACAAACTYCTACATTCAGGAKTTTTTGTTGCATCATCGCATGCTGYGTAACATTCCAAACMGCAGTYTTRGAGGTCAAAGATGACRAAAGTCTACCCTGGAACTTGGCATTTTGAGTTAAATACACCATGACTATCTGTTGTGAAATGTAAAGCGACGTATACATAGTTCTTGCTTAAAAGTTAAGTCAATACAAAGATGTGGCATTAGTAGACATAAATGCAATTCTCTTTGTTATTTTGTGGTTTTGCACTGTCTACATTAGTGCTCAAATATGCACACCCACCAACAAAGTAAAGTATGACTCAAAAGTAAATTGTAAACACTGTGTTGTGCACTGTGAGGAAAAGAAGCCAAGCTTGAATGAACCCTGGAGGAAAAAAGTACTGTACAGGGAGGGGGTCGGCACAAATACTGAGATAGCGCTAGTAATGGGAGAGCCCTCCCACCATCCCGCCTCACTCCTCAGCTGCACAGGAAACAAAAATAGTATTTTGTCTGACAAACAAGCCAGCTATGACCTAGCTTTTCGACCTCTGACGATCAGTCTTTTCTCATCCTCCAGCACTTTAGAACCTGGGGACGGGACAGTCAAAGATAACAGTTGATTTCTTCTGTCGCACTACAGAAAAAAATTAATGGGCTCGGAAAGAGATATGGCAAAAGTTTCTCAGAGCAGAGAGAATGAAGACCTTACACTTGAGTGCTGACATGACGCAGACTCCGATTACTCTTGGTAAGTATTTAAATGAAGCAGAAAATGCCACAGGTTAGGATGTATCTGATCGTTTAGCAACTCGGTCGAGCTCGTTCCTCATTATAAACATTAAGTATGACAAGTTGTGGCAACAGTGCAGGAGAGTCGCTCGCTCCTCCACCCCTCCGGCATGATGACTAAGTGGGAGCAGCGCTTGCATTGCCGTAGACGAGTACTAGTGAATAAGAAAGGCAGCAAAGAGGCAGGGGGAGATATAATGAGCAGTATAGGAACACAGCACCCTCCTGCCCTCTCTCCATCATAAGTGTAGCTCCCGCTCTCATCCTCAGCCCTGTGTCTGCTGGAGGAAGGAGCACAAACAATTAGCTGAGACAAGCTGTTTGGATTATGTGCTCAACCAGAGCAATCAGACAACTGTGGTTAAAAGAATGAGCCTCAGAATGCCAGTTGCCCAGTTAGAAGGGAATGGAGGGTCAGTGGTCCTGACAGTCTTAACAAGATGACAGAATTTATAAAGCACTGCTGTTAAAGAATATAGTTACCTGCAGTGTAGCCCTTATAATAAGGCCACATGGGGCTTCTTCCATATTCCCTCTGTATTTGTTTTCTTTTGCCTCATATTCTTTTGTTGTGCCTCTTGTTCCTCAGCGTAATGGTTGGTGCCGGAGGAAATTCTTCAATCGGCTTTGATCTCCATCTGGTTTCAATAATTTTTTGACAGAAATCTCATTTTACCCCCTTTTGTTTTCTCCATCTTCGCTGCCTTTTATTCCATCTTTAAATGGGGTTCAACATTTTTGTCATTGTGAGGTTGTGAAGGGAAGAAAAAAAAGAGCCGGTCCTGTCAGGGTTATCGGAGCCATGGCAAGACAACTTGCCCCAACATTTCAAGTGAGAATTGGACTCTTGCCGTTTGCACAGTTAATATATAATTCATGGTGGGGGTGTGAGAGAGGTGTCAATGTGTCAGGATGTAGGAGAAATATAAAAGTGCGCTGTTTACTGGCCAAGAGATGCCGGCTTCCTTTGGCTGAGCTGCAGAGTGAGGAAAAAGAAGAGGTTGATCTGATCTTCATCAAATGCTCATTCCCCGCCTGTCGTGGAGCAGAAGTGACCCCACTAATCAAAGACTTGTCTGCTCTGATGTTTTATTCATCTTTTATGAGACAAGCTTGCTTAAATTATTTAAGTACATTGATTCTGTATGTATGCAAGCATGTCTATTCACTGTTCACAGTTACAGGGCTGCTTTATCAATAAATGTTCACAAGTACTTTTTCCCAACGATGGRCTGTTGTTCAGTTRTTATTTGACTATTCATRCATCTGTTTTATTTTTTACCCATTTTTCCTTTTCTGGGTCATGGGGGAGCTAGTGTCTGTCTCTAGTAGCCACTGTGTYAGGGGTGTGGTACTTTTACTTTGATAATAAACTGAATTAAATCCTTCTTGACATTATAATAAAGGAATGTCACAAAAGTTTTATTGTAGATACCTTTGTCATCTTTTAAACAATATTTTAAATCTAGCAGTGATATGTTAAAAAAAGTATTTGATTATTTTTTATGTTAATTTTGGCAGATTCTCTTTTATTTTTGTTTCAGTAAATTTTGTAAAACAAATCCCTTTTTTCACCAAGATAAACAGAGATTTAAATTTTTAGACTTTTGTACATTGACACTGATATTGCTCTGCATTTTTGCTTTAATTTATTACTAGAAATATGATTTAAAATAATAATAATGATGACGATTCTTTAAGGGATTCTAACAAAAGTTGTGAAAAGAGAAAAAAGATTTTCTGTATTTGGTGCAGATAAAGTTGAGATAAAATAAATTATTTCTGTTTTTCTTAAAGATTGTATTTTCTTAGAATGTACAGAAACCATGATTAATTTATTATAATATGAATTATGCCATATTTAAATGGTAAAAGGACAAACTGATTCAGTTGTTTTGTTATGATGTTTTAGTTTAATGTGTTATTTAAAAGTCACTGGGTAAACTTATTTGCTAAACAAACTAAAACAAACTCATTGGGAAATTTATGCAATTTTATTTTGAAAATAGGCATGGAGGTCACATCGGATTAGCAGCTTTTATTTTTGCACAATCTTTTATGAATTAATAACTGAAGTTTTAAGCATCAGCCATGTTTTTTTGTGAATAGCATTGTTTTGACATTTAAACACAAAATTTGTTTCAGTTTTTTTTAATTCTGCCAACTTTACATTGAGATGTTTCTGATTGCCTGCACCAAAAAATGACATTGAGGTTGAAGAACATGGTCACCAAGGTTTTTTTTTTTTATTGTATTTTACATGTAGATGTTCTTTCTGGCTTTTTATAGACATTAGGTGTTGAGTGCTAACAGTTTTTTTTTTATCTGAGTAAAATATTAAAAGCATTTAAATGAAGAAATGAGTTTCTAATGGCATGCCATTATTGGATTCAATTAGTTAATGGGCTTATTTCTGATCGCTTCCTGAGAAGATGGATGTGTCTTTCTTATGAGATTTTAAGCCATTAAAGCAAAGATTCTGTCATTCTCCAAGTAACAATGATCACTTTTAGCTCCAGAGAGAGCAGTTTTTTCAGTCAGGCTGGATAGCTTTGTCCTCCAACTTGCTAAATTAAATTCACTGACTCTATCAGGCAGCCTAAAAACCCTGAAGGACCTTGTTGTGACTCCATGCAATTTACATGTGTCTCTCACTGTTTACCTTATGCTGTCCACACCTCCATGTGTGCATGTGTTTCCTGTCGTAAGTGTTAGAATATTTTTCAAATAATGAGGGCTTCCTTTTTATGTGCTAAAACACTTGTTGTCAGGTTGTCACTCACCAGCTTACTTCTGTTCGTTGTTCCATATGTGTGAGAGTGAAGGTCTGACAAAAAAATCAACCTTCTGCTCTTTCATCCACAGCTACCTCATCACTGAGCTCCCAGCTCCAGCACCTGCAGCAGCTCCAGCAAATGCAGCAGCACCACCACAACCAGCAGCAGCAGCAGCACCATCATCATCAGCAACAAACCCATTCCCACACCCAGAACCAGCTGCCATCCCAACACCACATAACCCCACCCAGTCAGCAGCAGACCTCCGTGCCATCTCCAGGTTCCACTTGCTCCTCCACCTCGGGACAGCCGCAGCAGTCCCCGCCGCATCGGCCCAACCAGTCGCCGGCCCGCAGCCTTCCCTCCCCTGTCACCCCTCCCATGCCTCTGCCGGTGAGTCCACAATCTCAGGTGTGTCACACAGATCCAGCGTGATGCTGTTTCTGAACCGTTGACTGATGTGTAGAAAAATTTACATTCAGTGGCAGATCTAGAATTTTTCTGAATAAGGGGCCATCAAAGGGCCACAATATTCTCAGAGGGGCCACTTATTTATTTAACATCTTTGTACACAAATCTCTAATTTTGGTAAGATGTATACATTTAACCAGTCACACATGTTCAAACACTTGTAATGTGATTTAAAAAAAATCTTGCACATATGTTCTCCTTACAAGTTTTACATGTATTTTTACTGTACATAGATCAAATACTCTCAAGCACGCAGCATGTAAGAAAATCCAGCCATTGTTTGTCAGTTGAACGACTTTTCCTGCAGGACTGTTTAAATCTTAAAGGGCCAATATTATGTGTTTCTCAGGCATWTATTTAAATACTATACGCGCACGGGGGTGCGCGTGCGCTATGATGCAGTTTACTTGGCATCTGAAAATACATTTCCTCAAAGGTATTTTTAATCTGYAAAGAGCTTCACTGAGAGAGAAATAATGTTAAGAGCTCAMCAGACAGTAGGTTTCACTTTCAATTTCACCCGCAGGAGTTATGGGCGGGGTGTGGGGGGAGGGGGTGCGCTCRGCCATGAGGAAGTTCGGCTTAAAGACACGTCCCAGGGGCGTTTCTGGTACCAAAAGGCGTTTCTGGTCCCCAGCTGTCGTTTTGCAACTCAGCATGGCTTCCTAAAAACGCTGCAGGATTTCTCAAACATGCATGAATGAGTCAGAGCAAGGCTTTGGGCATGTTTTTTTATGTGAGTATAACCTTATAACATGATATAAAACTCAAAAAAGTTGATTTTAAATGATATTGCCCCTTTAAGAAGAGAAGACGACATCTGTACTGTACAACTTTCCTATTTGACTCAGTGCCTGTAGTGTTTGAACATGGAACTTCACCCAACATCATCGCTCTTGGGCAAAGGACCGATGAGTGACAGGACAGGGGCGCTTCAGGGGGCCAATCAGATTTCATCTGGGGCCAACGCCCCTGTGGCCCCGCCCCTAGGACCGCCCCTGGTAATTTACATTTATAAAAGTTCAAACCTTCTTTATGCCGCCACTGTACAGTTCATAAAGCTGTAAGAAAAACGTGTTCAGAATTGGAAGTCAGAATAAGTTTAAAGAAAACCAAGTTTGATTCTATTCTAAAAATCTTTATTAAAGAAAAAAAATCATCTCTGTCAACTCAGGCCTTGGATCTTGTCAGAATCATAACATTAACAGCCCTCTTACAGGCCGGCGTCTGTTGCCGGCTGCACTAAAAAGAGAAGATGAAACTCCCCTTCCAAAGTCTTCCATACATCTAAAGCCAAACTTTCTGGTCACACTCCTGGGGGCGGACACATGGAGACTTGACTCTCTTTCTCTGTTCAAATCACATGACTGCAGTGATTGCAAAGTGTAAAATACAAGACTGTATCCAAAATTCATTTAATTAGTCACAAAATTTCCTTCAAAGCTCTCAAAATAAACATCTTACTTAGAGCAGTAATGATGTTTTTGTATTCATAGTCTTAGATTGGCATCACAAACACAAAGAAACCTAGGTATTTTTGTTGACTTTAATTGCAAGACCTGGCTGTGTTGTTCATAAGAAAAATAAACGTCCGAAGCCTGTAAGATCATTTGAGTAGTTTCCTTYTTGGGGCTATTATCTGGCCAGCTGCAGTGCTCCCATACACACGTACTTGAGTTTTGTTGTTGTTGGCACAGATACATGAAATGCTTATGTAAAAATGAAGGCTAGCATCTCCTCTGTGTTTATGTGGAGCTGTTGGAATATGCATCATGTCAATAAAGCTTTAATCCATTCAAACACAGCAAACCGCACAACGAATGCATGTGATACACCTCCTCCTCCTGTCGTTCCTGAGGTTATCTATCTTTAGGCTTTCCAGGCGTAATCAGTCCCCTAATTTTTGCTGCTSTTCCTACTCAACCTCCTTTTTAGTCACTTTGTCTGTCCATCCATCTCTGCCCTTCTGTGCGTCTGCCTGTCACTGTGTGACCATAATAACCTATTTTATATCCCTGTGGTTTCATTTCTGGTGGAAACCGGCCAGGGTCGCCTTTCTGTCCCTGGTCACATTCATCAGCGTCAGACCCTTATTGGGTTGTGGTGTGAGCTTCTTTATGGCCAGGATGAGTTGGGCTATTTGTTTCCCCTTGCAGCCCTCTCCGGCCCTGTCACGGCCTGGTGAGACTCAGCAGGAAAAACAGCCTTTGGATTTAATGGGTTTCAAAGGCTAACCGCTACATCGCACTAAACACACCATCCAGCCTGGCTGTGAATACAAAAGAAACTGACCAAAAAACAAATTAGCACATTAAGATTACGCTCAAACACCTGAAAAATCTGATACCATTTAATCAAATCATTCCATTGGGTAAGTTTTCAAAGAACTAATAATAAGTTCCTCTTACAAACACCAGATGTGTACTGTTATTTCTGGACATGCTCACAGCTTTAATATCGCCTGCGATCGTCTCCTTTATATAAATTGTCTATTTTTATAAGAAAGACTGCAGGTGATTATGATGACCTCCTTTAAGAGGACAAATAGACATCATTAGGATATTGCCTCATCAAATAGGATTACAGAGTGGGGTTGTGTGTGTTTGTGCATGGAAGGCAGAATGCTGGTAAAAGGTTTAGTTTCTTTGGGTCACTGCTGAGGTTGTCAAAGTGCGTGTCACCCAGGCGAGGGGCTCCTTCAAGGACAGGCCATGGCCCCAGCACCCTCTCAAGGCTAAAATAGGATTTAAACAGCTGCTCCGTTTTCTCCTAGAGTTTGGGCTTGTGATTGGGTTTTTAGTATGACAATAACTCCGCTCCTCATTGGCTGAATCACAGAAGTTTTGAAATCAAATAGCCTCTCTGATCCGAGGTTCAGTTAGAAGCAGACATGGATTGTGTCTCAGCCTTTTTGACTGTTGTAATTAAAGACACAGGAGAGCGTTTGTGATGTTCTCACATTTCACCCAGAGGGCCTGGTTTCTGCTCTAAAGTGGAGTCCTAATTACCATAATACAATGAGCATTAGACAGATAACACCCTTTTTTTTTTCTTGCTGTCATTATCCAGACAAGCAGAATCATTCAGCCATTCATCTATTTGCTGCAAACATAATGCCAAGCTGCTTAGAGACAAACACTCATTATGTTCCAATTAATGTATCATTGTAATTCCCTTCTCATGGGAGCTATGTGATAGTCTTTTTGTAAACTCGTGCAGAGGAAATCCCGAGCATTCATTACGTCCCTTGTGCTTTTTCTGGTTTTAATTTGGGTGACAAAATTCATTAGCTTGCTCATTAAAATCCCTGTTAGAGTACAAATCTTACACAACAGATCCCGTCACCTTGAATCAATAGCTAATTCTAAGATTACTGCAGCTAATTTGCTTAAATGGAAGAAGAATTAACCTTTCTGTGCCTCCCATACTCTGTCTGCTCCTTAGCATGTGCGAAACCACTGGATGCAGAATGCAGCTATCTGAAATAGCCACCAAAGTGATGACAAATAGACGTGCGAAGGGGGAGCAGGGGAAGAAGGGGGGGGATTATGAAATTTGCTTAAGTGCGTTAATGGGCTGATTGCAGGAGCCCGCTGAATTTTGCTGGAAGTTGATTGATTAGAGCTGCGGGTTTTCTCCACGCCCGGAGAGCTCAGGGATTTGACGGGGGGGAAATGCGTGCCAAGTCTGTTACACCGGAATTGATCTTAATTAGATCTGAAAGACCTGCCACAGCAGAATGGTCGCGGCGATTAAAATGAAAAACAGGAGAAATTACTGATCAAATTAATCATAATGTCGGGCTACAGCTGTAGGTCTGGTGTAATTTGCCACTCCACTGAGTTACATCAGCTCAGGCAGGGAAAGGGGAGGCAGTACATACTGATCCATGGCAGTGTGAAGCTTAGGCCAGCCTATGAAATCTCTTATTCCAGTGTGTATGCCATACACACCCCCCCCCCCCACGACCCTGCTGCACCATCCAGTGAAACCCCACAATCCCTCGTTTTCCCTCTGATCTAATTAGTTGCTTTTATTGCTCTTTTTTTCTACATTATTCTTTCAGAAGCTGAATTGTCTGCAGCTCTGCTGTACTTGTCTTGTCACCAGTGTGGTATGTGTTCACTTCTGTCCCCTGACCTTGGTGAGGTATCTGGTTAGGTTTTGGGGGCCTGGCAGAGGTGGAGGCGCCCTGTCTTCCTTGTCTGTCAGGCCCCTGCTGTCTGTCTCTCCCCTCTTCACAGTTGTCTCCTTGATCGCTGTCAAAGCCTCACACCGGGCCTGTCCACTCTCAATCCACACACTCACAGGGGTAATTGCAGCCTAGGGGGCTGCCTCCTATCCCTGTGCTCCACAATTTACCACCAAAGTGTCCACAGACATCTCTCTTCTTCCCCACTGCACCCCGACATCACAGGACTGCGGGGCCTCAATCCGCAAGTGCTGCAATTACCTAAGTCTCTCCTCAATCCTTTTCTTTCTCCCTGCCCTCCTCCCTCGCCACCCCACCCTCCTCAGTCTCCTCTCTTTCCCGTGGCTCCCTCACTGTTCCCCGGCAATCAGCCTTCATTAGAAGCCTCTGGTGAAAACCCATCGTCACCAAGGTCAGCTGCTGCCAACCACAACGGCCTTTCAGAGGCCTGCTCCTCCTCGCCTCTTTACCACCTTCCCCTCTCTCCTCCTCCTCTTGTTGTCTTCATCGTCCTCCTCAAATCTCAGACCCATCTCTGCTACCTTTGTCTCCAGTTGAGGCTCTGTCAAACACTCCGCTGCAGTGCACTTTTACTCGTGTCAGTGACTGTTAATATCACCTCCATTCAATTTGCTGCAAATGTCTTTTTTTTATGGGCGGTGGGTGTTTCTCCCATTATAATAACACGTGCAGCAAATGAGCCCCACATGCCGATTAATTGATTTTTCCA